TTTAGTAATAAAGGGGTGTATTTTTTCTATCTCCTTCCCAGTCTTTCTCTAATTGATGACAGAGGCAGATCAACACAGAAAATGAAGCTGCAACTCATTCAGGCCTAGTTTCATTAGCACAAGAACAATGGTAGTGAACACAAAAAGACAGAGAATTTACTGTCAGGTAGCAGCTAAAGAAGAAATACCCTTGCAGTTTGAATATGTACTCTGTTTACAGAGTAAAGAAAGCAACTAAATAAAGCTAAGATCAAGTTGAAGTATATTTTACCAATGACTGCATAACTAATCATTAGAAATCGTAACACACATACCACAGAGGCCAATATTAAATTGAGTTACTGTCATGTTAGTATGGTCCTCTGGTCTATTCAATCAAATACTGGCTGCTCAAATCCCAGAGGGATAAGTTCTGTTCTTAGTTACACTGATGTCCTCAGTGGAAATTATTAAGAATTGTGGCCAAGAAAAGAGTTTACAGCACAGTAGATGTTTAAAGAAATGTTCACAGTATTCAGATTTTATTATCAGCCATAACCGGAGCTATACAGTGGAAAAGATGACATCTCCATATAGCACATACTCAACTTTTTATTATGATGGAGATTAAAAATGCAATGTTTTGCAAAGATGATATTTTATAAGCTTGTAAAAAACCTACTTATTCAAACCATACCCAAAATAAGACAACTCTGTTACAGTCCTCCTAGCTGGCCTCCAAAGTCACCAGAAGCAATGACCTCTAAAAAAGATTTTCTTTCTGTATTCAGTCAACTCACAACTGTCAGCAAGAAGAGAACAAGATACATTCAAGAACCTGAGCAGTATTTAAGTTCCAAGATTGATGTTTGTCACACGACTTACTGCTCACGGATTCTGTGATGCCATACATGTCCTACAGGGAGTATGCAATTGTTCCCAGTTTCACCCATACCCAATAATTTGTAAAACACATGCCATGAAAGCTCTGAATAGACAGCACTAAAAGCACCTTAAATAGATAAGCCTTAAACACAGTGATCTTGGGAAAATGTGATGCAGAAACAAAAGCTAATAGCTTCTAAACTTCATCATTACCTGAGTAAACTCACCACCAAATTGCGCACAAAGATGGAATATAGAAAATAATTTATATCGATTTTCTACATTTTCCTAGGGTCACTACAAAATTTTAAGAAAATTAAAAGTTTGCTATGGCAAATATGAACTAAAACATAGTAATTGGAAGCAGAGAAGTGCCTGATGAACAATCATATAATAAAAACAATATTAACCACATTATCCTGTTTGAGGAATCTGGGAAAAAATACACTTCAAAATTGCAGAAATGTTAAATGTAAAATACTTCTTGCAGATTTTCAATCCAAAAGAAACCCACTTATTACAGTATTTGTTGAAGCCTGGTTGTAATTAAATAAGGAAGGATATTAAAACTTCCAAGAGATTTTTTTAAGCCACAACAGAAGAAAAGGCACAATTGCATAATTGGAACCAAATCCAAAACCCACTTCCTTCTTATTTACTAGTATCATCTAAAGGACACTATTTAAATGCTGAAAGGTCAGGAGCTGACAACTATGAATCACCTAAAAGTCAAAAATTTCAAAGGAATTGTACAATATAGGTTAAAAGTTTATAGATGAGAGATATAGAAAGTTAGTGCTCACTGCAAAACCACATCCTAGGAGTCACTGTATCTCTTGTCAACAAAATCATAGAATCCTATTTTGTTATGGGAAAAGAAATCCTCTTTGGTAGCAGTAAGTGTTTGCTACACAGAATTTGAAAGGAAGACATCTTTTTTAAGATATTCTAAAAATAATATTTCTTCAGAGAACAGGATTTCACTTGTAATTTGGTGCTGCACAGACCAGTTAAATACAAAACTAACTTGCCAGTCAGTGGGATATTTCTTTAAAAAGCTTCAGATCATTTTCATTGGCAGTTGAATTCAGTTCAATGCTCTTTGTTATTTGCATATCTGTGCAGGAAATTAGTATCAAAAGCATTTTCCAGACCTACCCTCTGGAAAGAAAAAAAAAATCCTCTTGCAATTCTATAAGGCATGCAGAAAATTGATAGCACAGACACAGATGGGCATGTACATGCTAGGGTTTTCAAGATGCAGTTTTCAAGATTTTCTAATTATTTGAACACCTTAACTCCTGGGGTTTTTTTCCTTTCTGACATAATCAAAGATATCAACACTGACCAATGAAGACATATGTATTGGCCAGCTTCACAACTCAGTTCAAATGAAGGGATGGACAAAAAATGCAAGCACACTCCTGCATTAGCTCACTGCACGAAATGCTGGAAAAACCAAGAGGTTTCATTCAAGTCCTGGCTTTTGCAACGCTATTAATAGGAGGACAGTTCAGTAATGCTTTCGTTTTATACACAGAAAATTCCTTTTTTCTCATTAAAAAATATTACATTTCAATGAAACTCATTCTGAAGGAAAAGTTATCATGATACATCGGTTTGACCTCTAGATCCCACCATTAATCAATTGCAACAAGAACCTAATAAACCAAAAGTCTACAACTTTAGGTTCCTTATTGTTTTGGCAGCATCCATGAGAAACTTCTAAAGGTCATTCTTTTTAAACATTCATCACATGAGGAAGCGCTAGTTTTAGGTATCTCAGCTTGCATGAAAAACCCTAATCCCTGTGAAAGCATGGATCTTATCACAGTATTGTCTAACCTTCCTTTAAAAAACCCATTACCATCAGAATTATTGTAAGAGTAATTCTATTATTTATTTAATTAATTTTCAGATTTGTGCTACTGTTATTAAACTCACCCTTAAAGACTTACAAATAACCACCAGTCTTGAAAAAAGAAAGAAAATTAACCAGAAAAACTAGATGTTCTCTCTGAGGGAGGCTCAGCGGTCAGTTACATTTTACTTCATTCATTTTAACACATTTTTTTAATAGAATTGATCACATGGGTTTATTTTTGGTACTCTAGCACCTCATCTACAAACACTTCTTCCAACTGAATATATGTTCTCATTGCAGTCTTGGGCCAACACTCTAAAATTAATTTGGACTGAAGTAACAGGATTATCCAAAACAAAAGCACTGTTTTCTGAATAACATCCTATACCCATATACTGTTCCAAAATACCAACTTATTTGAGTTTAATTTATCCAACACTGAAGTAAATAAAACCACTTATTTTTCAGTGAGAATGTGCATGTATGGAATTGCCTGTTAATAACTTTTAGACAACTATAATTTGTTAACAAGCATGGAACGATTTAATGTTTGAAAATCTCAAGAAACTATCAAACCTTCCCTTCACCATTTAGTACTTTTTCAGCTAAGCATGTAGAAGACAAACACCGTGTCGCATGCTTTGTTCACTAACATCTATCCAGGTCTTCAATCCCTTTCTTGTGTATCCCAGTGAGTGGCCTAAAGGACAATGATAAGAACACTTTTGTGCATAGTCAAATCTATCGTAATCAAGGAAAAAGATTCTAAAGACAAATGAGACACCAAGCTGAAATACAAGAGCTACAGCAGAACCTAACTTCAACTCTTTTTACTTTCAGCATTTGATAAAATATCTAATAAAATTCAAGAAAGTTTAATTTTTTTAAAAAAGAAAAAAAAACCACACAACCAAAAGACCCAGAATTACTCTGGAAATTCATAAAAAGTAACATAAGCCTTTTTAATAAAATTAGAAATGAAAAAGATCTAGGACAAGTTGTCATAATATGTAACACTAGAATACCTTAAACATAGAAAAACCCCTAAGTATTTAACATACATTTAAAATATTTTTCTAAACTTCTTACTACATTTTTCAAATAGACACACACTATTTTCAAATATATTTAAGTATAACTTAATTCAGTTCTTACAAACATTTGTTCTGAAACAAATGAAAACTTTTTTGTTGATTCAAGTAAGGGCTTCCCCTCCTTTCCAGATCTGATTTTGGTAGGTATTTACAAAAGAGCAGTAGGCACAAAAACAAGAGCAATCTCAATCATAGTCTTAATCACTGTTATCATACAATGATAATAGGTGGGAAGGAACATTTGGAAGTCATCTTGTCCAACGTCCTGCTCACACCTGGGCCAATTTTTAGCACAACAGGCACTGTCATCTCTCAACTGTACTGACAGACACAACGTGAAGAAAAATACAGTTGAATAAAGATGAAAAAACTGGAGCACTGTAGTAGCTTTGATTAGAACTTCATATAATTTTGATGCATATTTTAAAAGATAAACAAAAATTCCCCTGCACCATATACTAGTCTGGTACCAGTAAGTACCTACATTAGCAAGACAACATATCATTCAATCACATGCAGCTCACATGAACATCATTTTCTATTTACAAATTACAAATCATTGCACCACTGATGTTTAAGTGTTCAAAGAAAATTTAAGGTTCTCATTATTTGTCATATACGGTATGTCTTTCATGATCAAAACAATTTTGTCTTTAATATGTCTAGAAAAAAATGCTGCATCTTCAAGTTTACTTTATTCTTTAATTCCCAGAGCCAAAAGGTAGACTTCCTGAACTACATTACTTTGAAACTTTGGGTGATACTTGATTACTCTGGATGATTTTGCTTAAGTTATTCAGTCACTCTGGTAGTAACACTGCTCAGTGCCAAGGCCCCAAAACTAGTTTCACCACTTATACTTGTCTTATCTCAAATCACCTACTACAACTGTTAAAATCTCAGAGATATTACAAACCTCGATTAACTTGTGTTTTCAGAGAACATGGCAGTCCTTTGTAAAAAGTGAAAGCCAAGCTTAATGCAATAGTAACTACAACCATGTCACATAAAATAGTCACTACCAGAGTGGCAGAATAAGGAAACTATAACTAATGCCATTACTGTCATTATTATTATCATCATTAGCTGTAGTAACTCATGTGCATTAATTTGTGTCCAAATGGTATGTTTAGGTTCAAACATAAGAAAACAAAAGGAAATTTTTTTAAAACTCCTACCTGAGTTGACAAGAGATTGCAGTCAATGTGCAGTCCTTTTCCTGTCTTATACCTCTGAAGTAAACCAGCCATAATTGCTCCATATGTATATAGCCCAGTAGCAAGATCTGTCATTGCTACTCCCGATCTAACTGGCTCCCCACCCTAAAAAAAAAAAAAACACCCCAAACAAAATGAGACAAACAAAACAATAGACAAACAAAACAAAACAAACAAACAAAAAAGGGAAGAAAACAAGCAGAAACAATACAATTGTGCAGGGCTATGATCTTACTGGCATCACAGAGACATGGTGGGATGGCTCCTATGACTGGAGTGTGGGAATGGAGGGATATCAGTTCTTTAGGAAGGACAGGGGGAGGAGACAAGGAGGTAGTGTTGCCCTCTATGTCAATGACCAGCTGAAGTGCATGGAGTTCCACCTAGGGATGGATCAAAAGCTTATGGAGAGCACAGGGAGGGTAGTTACAGGTGACATTATAATGCTGCTACAGGCTGCTCATCCAGGAGGACAGTGTGGATGAGGCCCTCTACAGAGAGACAACAGTGGCCTCACATTCACAAGCCCTGTTTCTCATGGGAGACTTCAACCATCCTAGTACCTGTTGGAAAGACAACACTGTAGACCCAGACACTGTAGGAAAAGAACAGGTTCAAGACCATCTAAGGAACCTGAACATGGACAAGTCCATTGGACCTGATGACATACGTCGGATGCAGGTCCTGAGGGAGCTGGCAGTGGAAGTGGCTAAGCCACTACCCATCATATTCGAGAAGTCATGGTAGTTCCTATTCACTGGAAAAGGGGAAACATAATCCCCATTTTTAAAAAGAGAAAAAAGAAAATCCAGGGAATTACAGGCCCATCAGTCTCATCTTCATATCCAGCAGGATTATGGAGCAGATCCTCCTGAAAGCAATGTTAAGGCACATGGAAAATATGCAGGTGATTTGTGACAGACAGCATGGTTTCACTAAGGGCAAATTGTGCCTGACAAATTTAGTGGGCTTCTGTGATGGGGTTACAGCATTAGTAGATATGAGAAGAGCGACTGATGTCATCTGCCTGGACTTGTGTAGTTAACTAATCCACATGACATCCTGGTCTCTTTAACTAGAGACATGACCTTGATGGATGGACCACTTGGTGGATAAGAAATTGGCTGGATGCTTGCACTCAAAGAGTTGCAGTCAATGTAAGCAATTAGTGTCTTTGAGTGAACTGACATGTAAGAACTACCACTGAAAACCAGATATTCTTACAGCACGTACACAGAACTGTCACTTTATGATGCTGCATACTGCAAATTGTGAATTATTTATTATGTAGCTTTTTGTTCCTAATAACATAACGCTTAACTCACCAGTGCAAAAAGAAAAGAGATAATGTTAGAGACAAGAGAAGCCAGTGAAGGCTGAATTTTGTCACGCCCAGAAGCCAAAGGTCTAAACAGTTCCCAGAGTGTACTGACACAGGTGCCTGTCTGTTTGAATGGCAGAACCATATTGTTTCATAGTTCACACTCCCTTTTTCTCCCCTCTCTTCTGTCCTTCCCCCAGTCAAAGGTCAGTTTTGTATTTTCCAGTTATACACGCTTCAGGCTTCTAGTAAGACAAAAAGAACAACTTTTTGTTTAGACATGTAAGCATTACACATGTAAAGACAGGCAAATTCTTGACCTTCTGACTGAAATCACTGAAAAGCTGTTGGTTCAAATATCCGTTTTCAGTATGTCATCCCTTTTCTGGCATCAAGTGAAGAATCTTCATTTTACTCATGTGTTCCAGAACTTCTGTAATCATTGGCATGAAATACAACCCTTCTGCAATCAATGGCAAAATGAACTTCTAATTTCAGTCCTGCTAAGCTTTTATCGCAGGATCTTAAAAATGCTTCTTCTGAGACATTCTCCCATTTCCTACTCTGAAAAGTTTGGGGTCAGGTGATCAGGTTCTGACAGCAGTTCCTTGTTTTGAAGTTGGGTTTTTTTAAATTTTCAAGTTTTGAAGAAAAACAGCAGTGCAAAGCTAATGGGACTGTTCCAGAGTTTTAGCTCCCCAATAAGCCCATCATAAGACAACTCAAAATCAGTATAATTGATAAATAGTAACTGCTTGTGAAGTTCCCTTAAACGTATTTATATATGTAGTATAAGTTCAATAAAATTTAATTTACAGAATTATTTTAATTAGCCATATCTAAACTTCTAAGTGTAATTACTGTAATAGCAATCTTGTAATCAAGATTGCAAGAGTTACTGATAATTATTAAAATTATTAAAATTATTTTTAATAAGAGTGTCTTCATGTAAGAAAATTAATCTTTACCATCTTTTTTCTTTTGCACTCCAACAGGATTTACATAAGTCTTGCATCAAGTCATATACAAGTTACGATATTTTTCTTAAAATAATTTTATTGTATTATGAATTGCATTAATAGAGTAATTCTGAAATAAAAGGCAGTAGGACAATATTTCCTATGTAAGATGGAAAAGGCTGCTATTTTATTCTATCATGAAAGTGACTAAAAATTATAAAATCTGTATCAAATATGACAAAGTGTATCAAATCTGAGTTACTCTCATTCAAACTGCAGTAAGGATTAGTCTGTGGCTATCTATAGCTTAGATATCCCTAGGATGATAAGTAAACCACACAACATTAAGGTGAACACTGCTTTAGGAAGTACTGCTTTTTTGAAGAACCTCATATTTCTTCCTTTTCCAAACTCTGCACCAAGCCACTTCACTTTTCCCATAGAAAAGACAACTCAAATGTTCCAGCCATTTACTACCCTCATTGTACCCAGCTCTGGGGGAAAACAGGCAAGAAATTTGTTCTCTTTTATATGTGTGCATAGGCCTACTGAGAAAACTAATTAGCACTGGAATGGTTTTGCTCTCCAGAGCTAACACTAAGAAATAAAATGCAAAAAGAAAACAAACCTCAAAATGTTTCCCCATATTATCTGCTGCAAGATTCCAGTTTGTTAAATTATTCTTTCTTCATTACAGTAATTTCAAGACATTCACTGACTTCTCAGAGAAAAATCAAAAAGACTTCAGATTTTGCAAACACATGTGCAGCAACATTCTTAGTTTGAAAACACTTTCCACCATTTTCAAAGTGTCATTAATTTCACTCTTGAACGAGAAAACTACACTTTGAAGATACACAAATCAGAACTATTCTAATAGATTATTACATATGAATTTGCTTGATTCTCACACCTTCCTCATTAAGTACTAAACTACTTACTGTTTAAAAGCAAACACTTAATTTGCCTCACTAGAAAGTTCACTCTTATTTCTAAAACACTTTCATAATTTCCCTTTACAGAACACTCCTATAAAATACTAGCACTATATTGTTATTGTTATTTTTAACATGTTAGCTTTACTTTACCCTAACACTTCACAACCTATAATTCTGAACTAGTCCACACAATTTCTAACCTTCCTTGGTCTTTCTACCAAGATTCATGACTAGCTGCCATTTTCACCATTTAATCAGCTTTAATCAGCTCCTGTACCATAAACCAGCCTTTCTGTGGTAGGATGCTTAGCTGTAAGCCCTGTGAAACAGATTCATTCAGGCTTTCATCTCTGTCCTGCAGAAGCAGGGAGATGAAGCTGTTTTACACGAAGGATAAAGCTCCACACACTCCACACACTTCCTTTAGACAGAGCTTCTGACAGCACAGCAGCACTTTTATGTAGCTAACTTTACTTCAGTTACATGAACAAAGTAAGGACCTATACAGTATCTTTGATTCAAGGAAATTACTCAAAAGTAACAAACACCACACCCCTGTCAGTCAAAGGTGGTATTACCGTTCTGGTAGAAAGGAAAAATAAAGCCCTAATCAGGGAGAAGTGCATTAAGCAAAGCTGCATCAAGGCTCAAAGGCTGGGTTGAACCTTAATTAGGTGCAGCACCAGGACATACCCTTTTCTCATTTGAAAAGAAAAAGATTCATGCCAGTAGAGGGGACTTCTTCTTACATCACTGTGCTTTGCTATTGCTCAATCTTATGACCAGTTTAAACTTTTATGCCTAATTTTTGCTGTTTGCTAAATTCCTTACAATTTGACAACATATTCTGGCCCAGAGATAGCCACAACTTGTTTTGGAATGTTTTGGAAGCTTCCTTTCCTGAGTCTTTTTTTTTTGCTCTTTGCCATAATTTCTATTCAATAATATAAAAATCATCCATTAAAAATGAAAATTGTTTTGAAATTACACGCTTAATAAAAGCATTCTAAGTCCAGTAGTCTTTACAGATGTGCAATAGTTGCTGAAGCTAATATGAACCAGCAATGGCTGTATTTTTCAACAGCTCTGAGCTACATACAAAGGTGTACTCCTTTGTTATAGTTTGCTTGGATTTAAGCTGAAAAATGGTCTCTCTGGATTGTAGATCCCAATCATGTCTTGCTGTCAGATATTCAGTAAAACAAAGATGTTTCTTCAGCAAGAAGGTGCATCACCATAAAGATACTCTGAATATTGAAAACTCCATGTAACAAATCAACTTGAAGATGCAAGTGGATTTGTATTCAAATTAGGCTTTATTTATTTTATTTCAAGTTATTGCCTTAATGAGTCATAGAAAAAAAAAGAAATGTTCATCAAAGGGATACTCATCTGGCACTGATATATCTGAATATATTAAGTAAAAGGTTTCTGTTCATTAAATATGAAACTTGAATGTGGTGTTTAACTAGGATATATCTATAGCCAGGACAATAAAAGTGTTGTCAGTGCAAACTTTGTCCTTTAACATATTTTAATTTACGTAAACAAAACCTGAATGCAGCCCAAAGCAACTACTTTCATTCAAAATGGGTTTGTGTCACTGATTTACACAAAACAGATTCCCCTCATAAACATATTAGAATTTTGAATTTCACAGGTATCATACACTTCTAAAACAGAAGTAATCAAGCACTTGTGTAAGAGCTGGAATTCCATGAACATTTCTGTACATGGAAACATGTACTTAAAGATAGTATTCTACTGTGTTTGGTTTTGTACAACCAGCAAAACTCACGCTAGCACAAATGCATTTGTTTGTGCCTGTAACTTCACAATATTGCCAAAGTTATAGCTTGATTTTGAGGTTCAGAATATCACTCAGAAGCATTTCAAAGTTATTACCATTAAGTGATATCAGTAACTTCTATTTCCAGGAGGGGAAAAAAAATCAAAAATGCCATTGACTTTTTTTTTTTTTAAATGCAGGAATATGTATTTCTATTGGATCTATACATTTTTTAAATGTCAGATACAGGACAAAATTTTAGTATCCTATTATTAAAATGCTTTGTGAGGAGCTGTAAATATGTATACCTCAATATTAAGCACTTCAGTCATGTATGCAGACATTTTGTTGCTTCTGCTCAGATTCATTGTAATTTGTCTATTGCATCAGTTGATGTCTTTAAAACCATCCTGCAAGCACATCCCATGGTTTGTTTACCAAAAGAGAAGTTTCCACAGAGCACTGTTATACTGATGATGTTATGCTGAATTATCTACACCTACTGCAGTGCAATACAAAAACAACACTGTCTGTTACAACTTTTCCTCTTCCAGTTCATAAGAGTGGCCTTTTCTACTTTATTTAAGAAAAAAAAATCATACCCTCGTTTACTAGGGCATGCTTCAAATGAACATATTACCTTTAGTATGTAAATTCCATGTTATCTGGTCAACAAATAATTTAAGTTTTATTTAAAAAAAAAAATGCCGTGCAAGAGTAAGATTCTTTTTTCTTTATTTTGGCCACTCTTCTACATGCTGACTGAAACAAGATTTTCTGCTTTTGTTCAGAGTTAGTTTTGTGGAATTTTAAACATAACTCAGTCCCATGACCATAAATGTAAGAAAAACATGGAAGATTTTACTTTTCTATTTTAAAGTAACTTTCAAACAAGTATGTATGATTTTAAAGCCACTTGAGTAAACTTTCACAACAACTACAAAAGGTACATTTGCTTCTTTGGAGTCACTGCTTACTTAAGCCTTTGAAAGAAAACTGTCCCTCTATACATCAAAAAATGGTTTTGAGAAACTGAGGAAATACTATATGAACAACTTCAAATAAAGAAAAATAAGAAGCAAGTTTTAACGTTTATTTTAATCATGCAAAACAGTGACTAAGTTTGAATGAATTAATAAAAGCCCCCAGTGAACAGACAAAGCTGTTACTGACAATGATTAAATAATTCCTATGACTACATTGCCTCAAGTCTTGGTGAGGTGATGCAAACATCTGGTTTTCCAGTGCAGATCTTGACACAATCTTTTAATAAAATCCATCTTCATAATGGCCACTGAGGACTATTACTCTCATAATAGAACTTACATGCAATTATTCAATATAACATTTGTATTTTCTGTCATTCCCATATCATTGAAAAGCTTTAAAAGAATCCTGGATTTTTCAATTTTTCAGCATGCTTTCCTTTATTCGTGTTGCACTAACAACACTTGTCCCCTTCTATCAGCTTATATTCCCTTTTAATTTTGTTTGGTATATTTTGAAGTGTCCATGACTTTTCTGGCATTGTACTGGAAGTATTAATCTCCACCCTGCAGACACAATGGTCCAGATGTAAAAATTTACTTACACTACAGTTACTGTGATCAGTCATTGCTTAGTGTGTATGTGCATTACACATTTGAAGGGAAGACCTGTAAGGAATGCACTCATGCCTTCTTGTGTTCTGAGATGAGGCATCCTGTAAGTATGTACCAATACCATGGAAGAAATGGACAAACAGTTTCAGGACACTAGGCACAAGATGTTTCAGCTTACTCAGTCAAACAATGCTTGATTTTAATTTTTTTTTTTCCTAATAGAAAGGACAACTCTGGTAACAATAATTGCCACAAGCACAGAGTTCTGATGTTTGCCATTATTCTCAGCAGAAAACAAGTCTATTTGGCAGACTATCAACCCTGCAGTAGAGCTGAGCCAAATCATGTGTGGTTAGCTTTGAACAACCTACTCAAACATGAGTATCTTACACTAAGTAGAGAAACTTTATGAACTCCTTGTTTATCTAGGGCATGCAAGTTCATACTCTAGAGATCTGCCCTACTGCTTTCAGAGTATCAGGAACACCACCACAGAACACTTTGTAGCATTTATGATGCACAGAACAGACTTGTAACACCACCTCACTTGAGAAGTGACATTTGGAGACCACATTCCTTGCATATGTAGATGATTCAAGACAGCTTAAGAAAATGCTTATTTGGCCACCATTTTTCTGAGGTGAAGACACACATTTTATGTATCCCTAGAATCCAGATACTAAACTACCTCTGTAACGCTTTCTGTACTACTGCAACTACCAAAGATCAGTGGGATTAGCAGCACATAAAGCTTTCCAGAACCACTTATTGCATCCCTCTGCTTATTTCCAGGCAGAATGACTGAAAAAGCTTTTTGTCATAGTTATTTAGATAGCTTCACAGTTCCCTCTTTTAAAGAGGGAATATCAATATTCAAGCATCAGTGAGATTTCACATACATATATATGGTTCCATCAGCAATGTGGCTATTACAGCTCTTGAAGTAACAACAAGTGGCCACTAACAGGTTAGCATACATTGTCAATTTATTCACTGGAGATCTAGGGTTTCTCTTTTTTTCTTTCATTTTCTGTTTCTGGGACATTGGCTTTGGAAGCCTGGAGTGAGATATCTTAGCTTCCCAGAGCTGAGACCTCTTGTTGGACTCAGGAGGACTTACATAACAGATATGTTAGCACAGGCTAATTTGTTCCATGTAGCAAACAGTTTTGGTATATGGCACAAAGATTGTATTAAATTTGTAGATTGAGCACCATACCTCATGCCCTGTGATATGCATGAGACCAGAAACAGCAGCGGCAATGGTGTCATATCCACCTCTCTGAACCACTGGACCAGTCTGACCATAACCTAAAATAGAAACAGAACAATTGGTAATTCAATCAAGGGCAAGTACAACATAAACTAGTATTTCTTCTCAGTTTTTGTTCACAAGTTGATCCGGATTGTACAACCAATGAATGCTATTGTATTCTATTTATTCCTGCACATTTTTAAGAGTAAACAGTCAGATTTACTCTCTGTGGCTTGATGACGTGTTTGATCTTAATTCTAGACAGACTCCTGTCTCTGCTATGCTTCATTCACTTTGGATAGAATTTCTCTTTTAATTTGCTGGGTCAGCTGAGGTCGGACTCAGATGTCATTTTAGAGGCTCTATGTTATCTCTACAGGCCTCCAATTGCTGTCCAACAGAGCCCAGGTTGCCTGTGTTTTATCTCCACTCTAACATAAGGATACCTTGAATACCACAAATGATACTAAAATCAGAACACTATGGTGTGGAACACATGAATTGTTCCCCTCTTATTTCTGTTACTTTATTCCACATCTATGCAGAGCTATCTTCAAAACAGAACATTGTTTACAAGAGATGGCAAGGCTGGTCCTTTAGAAAGTACACACAATCTGTTTGCCAGGAGTTAACAACAATGAAACACAAAATACCAAATATTTTTACGGAACTACATAAATACAGTTCTGTTCACCTGCAGAATTAACTTAAAAGTAACAGCTGTAGCCAGAACGATGCTCTCTTGTTTTTCTCTGCTATAGTCACCATGTTCTTCTAACAACAACCACAAAATCTTCCAGTTGAGGAAGTCTTGCTCAAGCAACCGAGGAGGTCACTGGAACCAGTGACCACCACCACAGAGGGTAAAGTCAACAGAGAAAGAGCAACGTGTTTGATTGATGGTTTCCATTAGTTCTAATAATGGTAAAGCCCTCAATAATCAGATTTAAGCATCTGTCCTCCTTAAAGAGGTAGCAAATTCAAAAGTTATTCTCACACTTTTATTTCCCTTTTCACATATCTCTAGGAGAAATCCCCTGGCTACAAGAGCAGTTAAGAGATATTTGTCACAGACAAGATTCCTAGTTTGGCTGGTAGTTTTAAGGCCACATTTCTGTATTATTCTTAGCTGTGAGGACAGTATTAATACTGCATTATATCAACATATACTGCAAGATAAAAATTCCTGAATCTTCTAGATTCCTTTTCATTATTCTCCTGGAATCTTTCAATATACAGACAGCCTGTTCAGTAGACATGACAGTCTAAAGACTGGCTTTGTTGACTACAGCAGACAATTAAAAATCATTTTTCATTGGGATAATCTTCTTCAGTTCATCCACTTGGGCCAATGCTGTTATGTACAAAATTCATAAATGACTTTTAATGTACAGTGCAAGGGAATTATGACCACTTTAAACTGGCGTTAAAGCACTTTGTTACTTCAATTAATATATCATACCAAGCAAAACAATATCCACTAACCATACAGATTTCCCTATTACACCACAAAATATCTCAATTACCCAATATTTTTCTGGGGACATGAGATCCACATTGTGCAAAGCTGTGGAGGAACTCAACTTCTACACTCAGTGTCCCAGGGAATATCAGAATATTACAGTCATCCCACTGACTTTGTCAATGTTGCCTCAAAACAAACATTTTGGAAGGAAGAATTTAACACTTTCCTTATAGTCAAATCTGTTTCTTATTGACGTCACTACTCACAAGAGAGAGAGGAAAAAAACTACCAGTTTACCCATTTTTAGTCAAAATCATGTCTCTGACAACAACTGAGTCTGAGACCCCAAAGAGAACTTGTGACATTTCCTTTCATATTTAGACCCTTAAGTTTACAGCAAAGGACAGTGTATTCATTTTCAAACATAAGAGGACTAGCAAATAAAATATAGTGGATCCACCCAAAAAAGTTCTGAAGGAGTCTAATTAGGCATATACCATTATCTCGATGGAATGAACTGTAGAATAAAACCAGTTAAGTGTGTGGGGCCACTTCAAAAACAAAATCTTGCTCAATAAAAAAAACCACTCAAAACAACTTTAATTGAATAGTGAAAAGCATATTGAAGCAAGTGAGAAATTACGTACTGGCCTCAATTATTAGCAAAGAAAAGACATCTCAACACATCTGCTCACACAAATGTTTTCATAAACAGAAAACAACTGAAAATTAAACATTTAGACACTATTTAGACAGAACAACTATACAATGCTTTGCGATGCTCTTCTGGTAAGGTCAAACATCCATCCCTCAAACACTGAATTCAGGAGAGGTAACAGGCAATAAGTTCTGCATTTTTCTAGTGGGGTTTCCAAAATACAGTTTTTAAGTCCTTTTCACACACTACAACATCCTGGTTTCAAAATAAAAGGTATTATTTAGTAGCCTTCTGGTTAAAATTAGAGGTTCTAAGGAGTGTTTAATTATTGTTCACAGGTCACAATAGATTAAAAAGAAAAAAATACATAATTCTGCTTTGATCTGAATTCTGAATGGATGAAGTTAGTGTGGGGACAAAATCTGTTTTCACTGGAAATAGTCTGCCCCAGGAACTATGGACATACAAATGCATGGAGGAAATGGCAGCTATTTACTTGTAGGACTTAAGTGAAAATTGGCTATTGCTAAAAATGAAAGATCTCATTATCCAGACAAAAATCAAAGGCTGAACATTATTATTCTGGTAAACTACACAGGTCAATGGAGCAATCTAGTGCAGATGCTTCAGAAATAACTATGAACACAAACACAAAAAGCTTGAAGGACAGCCAAAAATTACATTCAGAAAATGTTCAGCTTACTTCACAGATTTTACCATAACTGTAATATATACACATACATGTTCATATATATATATGTAAATATATATAAATATATAGTAACTTCTTAAAGACATAAAAATACTACCTGAAGTTTATGTTTGTCCATGTTCTCTCATACTTGAATTCAGCATGAAAAGAACAGATTTGCAATTATACACTTAACCCTAAATAAAGGTTCCTGTTTAGTAAAACGTAGTTAGTGGCTTGGAGTTTAGATAAAATGGGAAATTCTTTAGGCTAAAAAGATAATCCCGGTTGGATATAGAGAGAATGGATTTAACAGTAGTGGCCTCAGAAGGCAAGACAAAGCAAGTGATTACACTCCCCTCTAGTGAAGCTTAGCACCTTAGGCTACAGTCAACATTTAAATAGTCTTTAACAGTAGAGAATTTATTTTAGTTCCTTAAGTCCAGTGAAGATATTTTTATTTTGGGCAATATATTTCAGAGGAGAGACCAAAGAATTTAAAACTCAATTCAATAAAACTGAGTGTTTTCTAAATCATTTCAGCCAGAGAGGTAGCTGCCAACATGCTAAATTTCATATACAGTTTAGATTTGTATAAAACAGAATCTGCAAGGAGCAAGAGAAAGCTGCACCATGCTAAGTCCCTACTCAACTCCCACGATCCCTATTCGACACCTTGAACTAGGAAGGCATGATTTATTCTGATAACTGCCACATCTTTATGTGCCTAGATCTCAAAATTGTTGCAGTACAAGCTAGTTTCCTCTACTGCAAAACATACATCAGTTTCACAATCAAACTGGATACATGACAACAATTGCCAGTATCGCCAGCCATATCTCCAAGTGCTTCCTAAAAATTGTCATTGTCAAAGCATTATTCAATCCGTATAGCAAGCTCCTGAGACTATCATAAACATATAAGTTCACGGAATCCCTGAATGGGGAAGGTTGGAAGGGACCACAGAAGGTCATCAGATCCGACCTCCCTGTTCAAGCAGGGCTGTCCTAGAGCACATTGAACAAGACAGCATTCCAGTCAGTTCTCAAGTATCTCAAGTGAGAGAGACTCCACAACCCCACTGGGCAATCTGTTCCAGTGCGCTGTCACCCACACAGTAAAGAAGTTTTTCCTCATGTTCAGATGGAACACGACCCTTATCAAAAGAGTTAGGGTCCCCTATTGATAAGGGTCCCCTCTCAGTTGTCTCTTCTCCAGGCTTAACAGGTCCAGCTCCATCAGTCTCTCCTCATAATAGAGATGCTCCAGTCCCCTAAAGATCTTTGTCACCCTCCACTGGACTTGCTCCAGGAACTCCATGTCTTTCTTGTACTGAGGAGCCCAGACTGGACACAGCACTCCAGGCGAAGCCTCACCAGGACTGAGCAGAGGGGCAGGATCACCTCCCTCAACCTGCTTGTAATGCTCCTCCTAATGCACCCAAGGACACTATTTGCCTTCTTGGCCAAAAGGGCACATTGCAGGATCATGGACAGCTTGTTGTCCACCAGGACTCCCAGGTCCTTCTCTTCAGAGCTGCTTTCCAGTAGGTCAGCCCCAGCCTGTACTGGTGCCTGGGTTACTCTTCCCTGGGTATAGGACCTTGCATTTGCCTTTGTTGAATTTCAAACAGTTCTTTGCCCATCTCTCCAATCTGTCGAGGTCCTTCTGAGGAGCTGCACAGCACTCGGAGGTATTGGCCACTCCTCCCAGGTTTGTGTCATCAGTGAACTTGCAGAGGCACCTGTCCCTTCATCCAAGTCATTGATGAGTAAGTTAAGCAATACTGGGCTCAGTAATTGAACTCTGGGGGACACCACCAAGGTTACAGACCTCCAATTAGACCCTGCGCCACTGATTATGACTATTAAAAGACTATTTGCTTATTCAGCATAGTGACTTACACCTGAATCTTTCTCTTCCTGTCCTGACCCTGCAGCCAAATCTCTCTTCTACATAAGAAAGCATACCTTTACTGTTTGAAGCTTTTTGTGAGCAAGCAAAATTAACTGCGTATGAGACAAGTATGAAAGAACTGGCACTGTCTACTTTGTATCAACTTAAAGGGAAACACGGGCCTTTTGGGAGACATTTACAAAGTGAATGCCACAGCTTTCCACCAGCAATCCTGTATTCCTCACGATTTTCACCAGCAATCTTGTACCCTTAGTCCAGAAAAGAACAGAGAAAGTGACTTTACTGGCTCTATTTAGCATCCTCTGTTTTTCAGGACTTTCCAAGT